GTCCCAAATCTCGAGCGATTTGTCGATTCGAAACACCACAATCATGTTGGGCAATAGCTTGGCCTTGGTCAAATGCCGAAAGTGGTTTAAATGCTAGCATTACTTGAAACACACATCATTCTAGCCTAAAAGTTTAAAAAAAACGCAAATTCAAGAAAAAAACGGTTAAAAACATTAGGTGAGGCTCTACTTTTGCGGATCGCCCAAACCCAACTTTCGAAATATAAGGCACATTTGCTTTAATGACTCAGAAAATGTAAATCTAATAGGGAATACTAAAAAGAACCCATTATAGCAATATTTAAACAATACAAGTGTTTTTTTTTTTTTTTTTTTTGAAAAAACGTGAAAATTTCTTTTTTTTTTTTTTTGAAAAAATATGGGTGATGTGTGGAACAGTGTAGAAGTACGATAGATAATGATTTTTCTGAAATTGTTGCAGATTTTGATACTTAATACTGTTTGTGATTTGGAGTACTCGATGACGTTGCGGAAAGAAGGAATCCATTCTGTTTTCCGCTAATATTTATATTACATATCGCTCAGAAGTACTTCTTCTGATTTTTGGAGTTTTCCGCATTTTTTCACATTTTCATATTCCTTCGGAATAACAGATTAGAAGTTTTCTTTCGCCAACTTTCCTTTCCTACCAGTGTTTTCCCCTATATTTTCTCGTACCATTTTCATAAAAATTTTATTATAATTTCATTTTCTTTGACTCATGATTTTTAACTTTTCGACTAACGTTTTTCTGTGGAAAACTGCAAAAATCAGAATAATATAGGGGTATGTAATCAAATCGGCTAATTCCAAATGAGGTTAAAGTTGAAATGGGGTCTAATACTGAGAACCACACACACAGTATTAAGTAGCAAAATCTGCAACAATTTCAGATAAATAACTATTGTGCAAAAAATTGTATGGAAAATTTTTGCATTGATTCCCAAGTTCCACAATTTATCATCGTCAAAATCAATACCGGAAATTACTCAAAAAATTTGGAACGCTTCACGAATTTGCGTGTCATCCTTGCGCAGGGGCCATGCTAATCTTCTCTGTATTGTTCCAATTTTAGTATATGTTCTCGGAAGAACGAATATGTGTCGTTTCACACTCCTTATATTGCCCCTATTTGGTATGTACGGACGTGCTAGCGGGACACGGCACATTCCAAGTTTAGCACTTGACGAGAGTGCCTATTAATGATGAAAGACAGTGCATATAGTAGATTGCAATGATTCGCAAGCTATTTGAAGTACGGTAAAATCTCTACCGTTTGAATCGAATTAAAAATTATAACCAGACAAAAATGCGATGGTCCACAATTACGTAAAGTGCTCTTACTTTTTCGCGATGATAATCGCTCTAATTACAAATAATCCAGCATCACTCTACCCGCAGGAATTTGGATTCGCAAGATGATCCACAGAATATCATCAAGTTAACATTTGAATTGAATAGAAATTAATTTCTAGAAAACTAATGAGCAATGCGAAAGAAACCACCCCACAAAGACATAAAAACCATACTAGCGACTGCTCGGACTGAAAATTACATCGACACTACTCGGCCAATTCAGCAAGTACGATACAAACGTAACTCTTAAAAATCTTGCATTCAGCAAGTCTATTAAAAAACGCATGTTTCGCAAGTTGTGTTATTATATACTCATCTAAACGACACAAACCTTTTAAAATAAACAGCTTTAAGAGATTCTATTAAAAGTATGCGGGTCTCACGCACCCGTAGAACCTCTCAGAACCCATATCTAGCATTTCCATTATCTTTTTGGATTAAAGAGGGCGGAGAACCAAAAATTAGCTTACCTTGGGCCCATTTGTGAAAAACAACTTGAAACGTTTTTTTTTTCAGTTTTACTAGAGCACTTTTGAAAGGATTTAACACTCCCTCTCATTAAAAAAAAAGACTTACCTGACCTATCTAGTAAAGGATTAAAATAAATATTAAAAACAATAAACAAAATAAAGTAACAAAAAAAAAGAAATCAAAATTATCGTTCCATTCGATTCAAATTTAGCGGCAATGCAGTTTATCGAGAGTCTTCCTGCAAATATTTGAAATTTTTTCAGAAATTCGCCGTTTTATATAACTTTTTACTATCACAATACGGACAGATTTTTATAAAACATTCACTAAAATAACATTTTTATGAACACTGTCACATTTGTGTCGTGGCCCATAATCTTGTGAGCGCTTTTCAATTTTAACGTTGTCGGGATGAATTGTTGTAGGACCGTTCCAATTTTTTAAACACTAGATTTTAGTTCATGTTTCTTTTCGCGCGATGGCAGTATTGGCTATTGACTTCATTCAACCCTTAATCTTATGCGCGACCTCGCCAATTTCGCAAAAACCAAATATTTCCAAGTTTTTAAAATTACCTCAATGAAAAAAATGTGCACTTCATTTCCTATTCTACGCTGTTTTCTTTCTTCTTCTTTAATTCCTGAAAATATAGGAATTAATGCTAATTAGTTTTTTATTTTTTAATGTTCAAACCGTACGAGTATCTTCTGAAGCTGAGATACCCGAGTCCGATCGCCAGATAGTTGATTCGAGACGAAATTCTAAAAATGGTCTATTAATAAAAGAACGAACTGATTTTTCGCACTCTACCAATCGAATGCCTAGCGTGTGATCATCTTCTCATCTGAAAATAAACATCCAATTTTTGAATAAATGGAAAATAAAGTCACTGTTTGCGCAATTGCATTTCGATTCGCTCCCATGTTCCATTAACTTTCGAATTTTTTCAATCTGAAACAAAACATTAAAAAAAGGATAAGGAAGTAATAAATGTCACTGCTTCAAGTCCTTCCATTAATGTTCGTCATCCTTCTTGTGTTGGTCATTTCATTGCACAATGTTCATGTAAAATTTTCATTATAATTAGAAGAAATTTTCTATTGATTTCTATCAACATTTTGAATATAAAATTTATTTTGTTGCGTTTTTCGCGAAAAAAGTAACCTTCGAAATTTTGTTGCCAATTTGGCAGTCCCTACATCGAATAGTCCCGACGCCACTCCACCGTGTGCGCCTAGACTCCCCAGGCATTTCCCTCCTGGGTCGGACCCTTTGGGTCACCGAAGCGGGACGTTGGTCCGCGTCTCGTGGCCCGAGATCGCGGCGTCCGTGCGGGCTCTCTCAAATCCGACTCAACGAATGTTCTCGAGACACGCTCACAGCGGTTCGGAACCTTCGATGTCGGGACAAACGGAAATCGCAACTTTTAAAATATTTTTTAATTTCAACAAATTCGTAAAAAACTGTTAAAAAAACATAAAAGAAAAAGAAAAAAATTACACAACTGTTTATTAGCCGCTTGTCGCTGTATGAAGAGCTCAACCGAAAAAGTCGGAGCAATATTGGTCTGAAAATGAATTCTTTCTTGTTTGCGGAATTCATTCAATTTTTCTAAATAAACCCATTTTACATAGTTTCTTTCGTTCTTTTAAAGTGTTTTTTTTGATTAAATAGGTTAAATCTCGTAATTACCTTGTTAGAAATGTAGTTGTTTCCAGAACTCTTCATCGAAATAACGAACGAGGCAACACACTGGTCAAAATGAGAAAATTAGAAATGAATGAAAAAAGAAGCCGCGTTGGTTTTGATATTTTAAATATTTACGTGTTAATTAGTTTTTTTTGCTTAAAAATTGAGAAAATTTCGTTTTATGAAAAAAGAAACAGTATTTTTAATTGGGATGTTGTAATTTTTTCCGTCTGTTCTCGAAAAAAAAATGCCATGAGACAGTGTCACTACTTTCTACAATCATCGTAGGGCTGAAAATTAAATTAAAAATCATACATGTGAAGTTTTTAATGTTCCAAAATCACCCCTTCCTTCCAAAATCATCATCTGGCTGTAAAGAAATCAAAAAATAAACAACGATTTTCGCATTTGAAATTTAATCGAGCATTTATCTCGTCGAAATTAACGCCTTCTCGAATTTTTTGAATAGAATCATCTAATTCGCGAAATTTCTCAATTTTTGATTTAAACAGTGACAATTTGGGGGTACCGTACTCTGGATAACCTGCTAATCAAACTCATCGTATTCGACGCAGGGTGTTCGTTTTTTGCTAATGTAATAGTATAAATATGACGATTTATTCTAGAGACCCCTCAGGGCATAAAAATCATGACCCCTCTGTTTATACTCCTGTCGGCTCATTTGAAGCAGTGTAATTTTGGAATTAATTTTGGAATTTTAAAATCAAAAGTACGTCCGATGCAGCACGCGTCGTTAACGTCAGTATGGGTATTTCCATATATTCTCTTTTTCAAATTGTTGCTCGGAGCCCCTTGAGTATAATTCCAAATGATTTGATGCAATTTGATGCCTAAAACCACCCGACCAACAAATCGGAGTAGCGCGTAATGAACCCTCATCGATGCTCCAGAATGTGCTCTGATTGACGAGAAAAGAACACTTGAATTAGCATTTCAGGAAACGGATGGCAGCCACTCGACTCGTGTGGCGATAGATGACAGACGGCGCGCAATTAGGAAATAAGGTATCATCTTTATTTACAAAACCCTGTTCAATGATACATCAACATTGTTAAATCTGTAACAAAACGAGAGCAAAATGAGAGATCAAACACAGACATCAAAATGTTTTAAAAATGACAATAATAATAACTAAAACTACTACCGATTTGGTAGGTCCCCCAACGAACGTAAATCGACAAATAAGTTGGTCGAAAAGAGAAGGCATTTCTTTAACAAGGTTAGCACTATGCGGGAATGCGCTGCAGCCTTTATAAATTCAATTTGAGACTCGAGCCAGCCTCGGAGGCCGATGATTACGTGACAACGAACGACGAAACGCACGCCTATTCTAATTCGATTACAGACGGCTATGATTTAGATTTAGTTGACGGAGTAGGAATAAAGCGATGGGAAGAAAGAAACCGGAATTATTGCGATTTGACTCGGACAATGAAAAAAAAAATGAAAAAAAACGAAAATATTTAAATAGCCAACTCGAATGTACATTCCATTTTTGGAATTATGAATTCTTTGCGATTACCGCGAGCGCGTTCCACCATTTCTCGGAGCTCTTCGGAACGAATCTGAACGAAACAAACTTATATTTCTATGTGAGATGCTGATGATTTGCCTGAAGCTCCATGATTTGTCTATCGAGCTCATGAAGGAATTCATTCCTCTGGAACTCGTCATCGATGATTTCTTGCGTCTTCCTTCTGGGGGGCCTTGGCTGCTGATACGACTCCGAATAGGGTTGTGTGTAAATCGGCGATACCGGCCGATAGACACAGTTGCGCAGGACCATTGGTGCCGCTCGAGATGTCGGCAGATGATTTCGATACTGTGTCCAGGGTTCGGCGTAGATCGGTGACTCGATTCTCGCTTGCTCGTGCTTCGGACTTGGGGTCGTCCCGACCGACAATCGTCCGTTATTCAGAGAACACGATGACTCCGACATTTTCGTGGAGACCTAAAATCATCATTGTCCCAACTTTAGTCATGTTTAATCGTATAATCACCATCAATTCATGATAGACATTCGAATTATCCATGTTGTCATAATGCTTCCAATCAGTCTTCCATTCTCCACTATTCGACCATACCATTGACGTGTCCGGACTGCAAAATGTTGATTATAAATTGAGGAGCCAACACGCGAAATGCATATGGCGTTTTGAGCATTGTGACACTAATCCGCGTTTATTAAAAACCACGCGAAACATTCGAATGAATTGCGAGAACAGACAGCCGCTAATGTTACGCAATATGTACACACATACGCATATAAATATATATATATATATATATGGAAATTTTCTTGAAAAATACGAACATGTATGCGAAGGTCGAACAAAACAAGCGTCCTTTCTTCCCTTGAATTTATTTCAATTTTTAATTCAACATTTTTTTCTATTCCATTCATAAAATTTCATTTTTTGACTAATCCATTTTCATTCATAGTGGCTGAACAATGTATCGTTTGAATGCGGTAACAAAGCCCTCGAAAAGCAATGCAACAATGATTGGAATTGCAAGTGGCTCGTCGTCCGTTGAATGCTCATTCAAAACGGCGGCAGCGGCGTCGACGATGATGATGAGAAATTCGGAAGGAAGACCACTTGAGTAATCACAATGAATGTGTTGCGCAACAACGAACACAAACCGAATACCCCCATCGCGCACTATACTACATTGATGAAGCCATTGGCAACCTAATGAAGCTCGCGAAATAATCTCGAAAATTTATCTCGAATGTGTCAGATTAGCGTAAAACGAGTGTGTGTGCGCGCGCATTGCTCCCCCCGAAGGCATGTTCAACGACGGATTTATGCACTTCGGATTATATTATGGACATGTCGCGAACTTGCACATCCAAACTTAGATTGAGATTTATACGATTTCTCCAATGGGAATCCTACGACACATCTTGTCAAACGCAAATTTCAAATTTAAATGAAGTCTAAGCAGAAAAACGTTTTAGAATTCATAAGAATACCATTTTCAGAAAGGAATTCTCTTGTTGGGCCTCAAGTATTTCCTAACAAGTCTGCTCGGCAAAACAAAGTCATCATCTATCGACGATTTTTCATTCCATATGTGTGACACATCCTAAAAGTGTCATCTGCCATTAGTGGCACGGCCACCCAAATCCGATAATTGCATAACAAATGTTTGTGCAAAAGCGAGGAAAGGGCGATACAATTACGCGCACAGCTTGACGATGAAGAAGAAAATGCGAAGAGGTTACCTCGAGTCGTGTGAAGCGTAACCGGAACTGCACATGCTGGTGTCGGGACTGATTACACATAGTGACGGCGGCTTGCTTTGTGGCATCGATGTTTCCGGAAGAGGCTACAAAAATAGTTATTTTTATATTTAAAAAATTCAAAAAAAGAACAATATTTTGCCATTATAAACCGGAAATTAGGTGTCTGGTTTATGAAAAAGTATAGCGCAATTGTCTATTCAAAAAAATCTACAGACAGATATTGCAAAAAAATTATGTTAAAAAAAAAAGTAGGAGCTGAGATGTACGTGGTTACAACATACCATTGATCTGCCCATTGTCATGCTCGTTGTCATGCTGCTCCACATTTTGCCATCGCCGATCCATGGGTTCGTGCGGATTCTCTGCAAAAAAAAAAACACACATCTCGTTGAGCTTCATGTTTAGTTTTTTTTCATCGGGATACCCAAGGGAATGTTTCTGGCGACTCATAAATAAATGTTTATGGTCACGGCCACCAGGCGCATAAAAACCCGCAAAAATTTCATTTCTAATCGCCGTTGGCTTGTGCGAGAGTGGCGCCCGCAAAATTTGCATATCATGTCAGAGAATCTTTTGAATGCGTGACGATTCAAATGACATACTCGGCGAACTTTGTCAATCGAGCAGAAAAAAAGAGCGGAATAAAAAAATGAAACAGGCAACACTTTTGAATTATTTATCGATTCCTGTAAGTGGCGGCGAGTTACTTTTTTTGCTTTCTAAAAAATTTTCATTGAACAAACACATCCAAAGTTGAATTCGAGAAGAAAACGAAAAAAAAAGTCGGCGTTCTTTAAAGGAAAATAAATCTTGGCGTTCAAGGTCTCAAAGCGAACGATTAAGGAGAATAGTTGCACGGTGTTTGAATTTTCAATGAGAAAGATTATTCAGAGACAAATGAATTTTTTTCAGGAAAATATCGCTAAAAAAATGAAAAAAAAAATCCGGTTAGAATTATAAGCTCAAGAAAAAGGACGAATTCATTCTTAAACTATTTTTTCGATAAAATTGTTGCAAACATGCTCTATTGCATAAATGAAATTACGACACTCCGTCGGTGCCCAATCAATCGCCCTTTATTTAGCTTAAATAGTTCCCTAATATTTTTTTTCGATTTTTATACTTCCTACCGCGAAAAAAGCTCAAAAGGATGTCGCAGCTATACTTTTGAACAAATCAATTCATTCTATCTTCATCGAAAAGGTCATAAGATCACGTAGTTTCAATGCAAACAAGTTTTAATCAAACACTACCCAGTGACACCATAATCCACAATTTGCTTGTCATTCATTGTTTCTCATTATGTTTCCTACCTAATTTTTATTGTAAATATTGAATCAACTTACAGTTCGTCTCGGAAATGAGCCATTCACTGGAACCGGTGGCGGTGGCGGAAAGTTGAGCGAAACTGCAATTTAGTCTTGTTTGATTTGTGCCCTCCCTTCGATTACATAGGTCAAAATGAAAATGAATGTAAATAAAATGAAAGTACTCGAACGTGTTGAGACAACTCGAACATTTCATCAAAAACAAATGGACGAAGTCACCTGGAAGAGGTCTCGACTCGCGTGTTCGAGCGACACTGTGCGACGCTGCCCTCACCGGCACCTTCTTCTCTTTCCGGCGATCGTCGTCCGGATGGCGCGAATGATTGCGACGACGGCGAGCGTCGCGGCGCGAACTTCGATTGATGGTGAGCTGGTCGAACCAACTCTGTATTCGTTGCATTACCGAAATTGAGAACGCCACACACCTCCTTCGCTATTTTCGGTTCTGAATTTCAAACAATTCAAATGGGTATGTCGATAGTTAAAAATCGTAAAAAAAATAACAGAAAACCATGATAAATGATGGAGAAATTTTGGAATGCGATTCTCTGTATTAGAAAACGTTAATAGTATTAGAAATATTATATTTTTGTGTGAAAATCAATGATAATCTAAATCCCTCAGCGGGAATTCAAGGCTTTGCTCGAATATGTGCGTTCAAGTGATTAGGCGATGCTATAGGTGCCTACAAATAATTTGTAGATGAAAAACAATTTGGGCAAAATATAAAAAAAGCGTATCAATTTTTGGGCATCCGGAAGGAGGATACCACTGAAGAACACAAATCAAGGATTCGCGTGACTCGAACCTTTAATTTAGAAGAGAATAAAAAACAGCCTAGTAATTCTACAAAAAGTACTAGGCGTCGCCGGGCACACAACTCAAAGCTGGTGCGGCAAAAGAGACACGAGAGACTCGCGCACGAAGCACCCACCACCCCACGCGGCTCGGGAAGGGCGGTCCAATAGTGGGCGGAGTCGATGGGACAGGCTTCTGCCTGGCCGTGTCATTAAAGTTGGTTGGGAGGCCGGAAAGCGGGCGCACGACGTCGGATTAATTTGGAACCTCCTCTCAAGTTTGTGTGGGACAAAACGGAAACCGCATTAATCAACTCTGTGCCGTTCGTTTTCTCATATTTTATTGGAAGCGGAATGTCGCTGCCGCGGATTTCGAGCAAAGAAAAATTAGGTTGAGCAGTTGGCAGAATTTATGAGAAGCAATTTCGTCTTGCGATTGGGGTGTGAATGAATCGAGCCAATGAATCTCGAACAATTTGAAATAGGCGAACTTGGCTCCAATGGAGAACAAATATGGTGTAGATGAAATCAGATTCTGGAGGCCAACATCGTAGCGGAAGGAATCTGAGATTATCAACAAAAAAGGGGCGTATTTACAATGGACTCGATTATGACAATGAAAAAGTATGAATGCAATTGAAGTTGTTGTAAAACTTCAAAAGAACCTCTTAGGCAAACTTGCAAATTGTTACACCGAAAGCCCATTTCTCTCTCTCTCTCTCTCTCTCTCTCTCTCTCTCTCTCTCTCTCTCTCAATTGCCAAAAATGGGCATAATAAATCTCCTCATTTGAATAAAGAATTTCTTTTCATTTGGTAGATCATGATTAGTCACATTCATTCATGGAAGCATTATCGGATAAGGATTTTCGAGCACAAAAAAACGAAACAGAAAACAACGAGAGAAGCCAAAAAAAAAAAAAAAACAGAAGAAGCTAAAGGCAGGTTCTTCAAAATAATTTTAAAAATGCGAAAAAAAAAACCCTCGAAAACGGAAGTGGGCGAAGAATAGAAAATCGGTTGTTTTAAGGGAAAAATTGACGATTTTTGGTGGGGGGTTTTTTGATGTTCGAATAATTGCTCACCATCGAAGAACAGTAAAATCGATTTCCGAAGCGAATGTTCCCGCGATTCAAAAAATGACAAATTATGGAACAAAATAATGACAAATTGGTATATTTCTCGAATAACGATCATCACTTTTCTTTTGGCTTTTTTTTCTGGAAATTTCGGTCCACTTTCGATACTGGACGAAGAAAACATATAAAAAATCTCATCAAGATATGGATCAAAAGTGGATAAAAATTTATCTGCCACAGATCCTCTATTTACTATGCTTTTCGGAAAAATACTCGAAAAAATTTTTATGCAATCTGCATAAGGTTAAAAAAATTTTTTTTGGGAGATTTGCATATCATACTTATGGACCGTCCTGGTTTCAATTTTGTGAAATTCAATTATTTCTTAGATCGAGATTCTACAGGAAAACATGAGAAAAATATTTGAAAATGCTGTAATTTCGTGGCAAAAAAATTTAAAATACAAAATATTTGAAGTGTTTTTTTAATTGTCTAATTTTCTAGCAAGGCGGTACCACAAAAATTCTAAAAAGAATCCATTAAAACTAATGAAAATTTGATCTACTCTGAGCGGAAAAAACGAAATTGAATTGCTCATTTATTTGCCTTTGATTTTATGGCAGATGTTCATCAAAAGAAAAAAATTTTATTGAATTGTTTGAGGTGGGAGACGATGAAAAAAAAAGGCATGAAACGCGCAGCTGTGCAGCTCAAAAACGATATGATCCTAGCGAAATCGATGGGCATATTTTTATGAAATCTGGGGGGCCGATTAGAGGACCGGTATGCGAACCGAAAAATCTCAAACTGCTTAAAGTCGACGTGAAGGGGAAAAAAAAAGTAGAAGATGTCGCGGCAAGTGAACCCCTCAATTAAACGCGTGTGCGTCACATGAGGAAAAGCGCAACAAAAATTGGAGGGAATTTGAAATGAAATGAAATACGCTTCTGTTTTTTTTTATCTTCTCCGGTTTCTTGGCCAGCAACTACAGAAAACACCGCAAAAAATTGAGACGACTAACCTAATTTTCGAGTCAATGTTTTCTTTTTTTTGTTTTTGACTGCCCCGTCGTTTCAAAGCCGAAAAAAACTGAAAATAAAACAAATTAGAAGAAGACGAAAAATGAGGGAAATAAGTTCAAAAAAGAAGGATTATATACGGTTATGAGAATAATATTTTTTTAGGAAAATTTTCATTCAATGATTCGCAAAAAATTAATCTCGAAAGAATGAATGTACAAATATGAATAGACGCGTGAATATGTATGATATCACTAGGCAAAAGCCCTATTGTTAGTTGGATGAGCTATCAAATGAAAAAAAAAAATTATTTTGCTTGGTATTCAAAGATCGAAATTAGAAATTGCATTAGTGGAAATAAAAAAAATATATTTCAGGTTTTATAATTTGATTTTTTCAATTTTTTTATTCCATTTGCAAAAACCTGAAAAACTGACATTTTCAGATTTTTGACTATGGTTCAAAATGAAAGCTCAATTAAAAATTGTGGTCTTGAATCCCTTTATAAGTATAATGTAAAATACAATTAAATGTCGAATAGGAAGGTTTTAAAAATCATTTTCGAAGACAAGTTTTTGGTTTTTTCAATAACGCAAAAAAAGAACTTTCATACGAATATCACATGATTCGCTTCCAGTCTGGTGATCATCAATATTCAAAATATCAGTCATATGAAACACAACCAAGGAGCGGATTGAGAGGAGTGGGATTCAATTGACGTCGTCATCGGATAATCGCAGTTTACACCCAAAAAATCAGATGAGAGAAGATATTATCGTTAAAGTCCAACTAATTCGGCGTGTTGTTTCGCGTCGACGATTGTGTTGGTTGCAATTCGAGAAGACGACGGGACCCCCCCCCGGTCTCCTTTTCTCTTCGCCATTCTCATTTCGCCTAATTTTTGCACCACGTAAAACGATACGAAAATGAAGTGTACGCGAGAATGCGCGCGCCGCTTCCACTACAACATTGTCATTGTTGCAAAATGCGCACAAATTCGATTTCGCCACTTTTTCAATACGCATATCTTCGAATATGCTCCTCTGATGGATGAATATGGAAATTGGGCACGTTTATAAGAGAGAGAGAGAGAAAATAATAAACTATACACTACAGCCCTCAAGGTATCAAAAAATTTGTGAGGTGTAGGAAACCAATTTTTGTGATCTACCAATAAATAATCCTTGCAAAAAGACACTTCAAAAAATATCTAATAGCTATACGTATACATATTTGTATATAAAGTAGTGATATGTCAACCAAAATTGTTCGAAAATATTATTTATTGGCTCGATAATTCTCGGCTCAATTTGAAATCGATTTTCAGGTGAAAGCGAAATTTGTTGACCGCATTTGTGACCGGAACCTTACGGAAATATGGTGTTCGCCAAATATGTCATCATTATGCGAATTGAATTCAATTCGGAAAGATCCAATTTGCGAGGCGGCGTTTTTTTTTTCGCCATTAATCCTCGCGTCAAAAATATGCAAATCCGGTGAATAAATAGGTGAGAAGTTTTGTATGCGACAATCAACAAATTATGCTAATTGCGAGACGAAAAACGATGGGTTTCCTAATAGGGTAATCGAAGAAATTCGTCAATTCAATTTCGAATCAACTATTTTATTTAAAAATTTCGATTTTTGAGGGGAAAAATACAGAAAAACATGCTAAATCTCCTCAAAAACTATATGAATTTTGCTGGAATTTATTTTCTCCAAAATTGATTGAGTGTTTCACAATGCATAAGGTTTCACAATAAATAAACACTAGATGTTTATTTTTTCTGATCAATTGTTTAAATTGAGCACGATTCGCTGGGGGTAGATCATTCAACAAAAATGAATGAAGAGGGGAAAATTGGCGAAACGCCAATGGTCTTGGTGCAAAACTAAATGTGTAGATTTACGATTTCATTCGCACCGAGACCTCTATTTTAAATTTTTTGGCATCTAGCCAATTTTTCGCAGTCGCGCGACACCATTTCAGGCGACATTATGGCAAACAAAAACCGTCAACCGATTTTTCTCGTTTAAGTATTTTTGTTTCGTTTTCTAGTTCCTTCTAAGTACTTGGAATCGGCAAAAAAAAGAATTACTGCTAAACGCCATTCACGCCAAAAGCGGAGGGGTTTCAGCGAATTTCTATCATTTTTCTAACAAGGGAGACGCTTTAAAAAAATGTTTCATTTATAGTTTAAAAAAAGTAGATTCTGAATCCTGCTTGCAAAAATAATTCAAAAAATTTTTTTTTGAATTTTTTTGGGAAAAAATTAGGACCAAGAAAATCTGAACCAAATTTATATAAAAGTCACGTCTTGAAAATAGTTTTGACACACATTTTTTGAGATCACATTTCTTCTCTAAAATTGCCAAAATTCGAGCAATATTAGAAGTTCCAAAACAAATGTTTTTTAATTTTGCAAAATTCTCTAAATTCTCTGAAATTCTTTAAAACACAAAACCAATTTTCGATTCTGATTACGCAAAAAAATCAAATATTGGAGAATTGAACAAAATGGGTAAAAATGCGTGTGAATTTCGCAAAAAAAAAAACACAGAGAAACTAGTTTTGAGGTGTTGTTTTTTTTTTTTCGAAAATGTTGTCTCATCTAGTCAAAAAAAAATGGGAAAATTGCAATTTTTCAATTGAAAAAAAATGGGTATCAAAAGGGAAAAGCCGTGTGGCATAGAGTGCATAAAACCGAGCGAAAATCCATTGTGATTACCATGGAAACAAGTGATAATAGTGTGTTTTGAGAAAAAAAAAGTGCAAATCTCAAAGAAATGTGAAAATGTGCTTTAAGAGAGGGGGGGTCCATTGTTCGAATATAATGCCACAAGCGAAGCAAAAATGAATGACAAATCTTCGGTTGGCTTCGACAAAATTTGAGGCGGCAAGCAGACAACGGTGGGCGAAGACTGATGATCAACACATTTATCACATTCGAACCATTTTTTTCAGGCTTTCCGAGGGTTAATGATCCTCTGGGGCTCGATAAATAATCGGCGGCGGCGAGGTTTTCGCCGAAAGTCGCGTCCGACTGCAAATGTATTATGCATGCACCTTCAAACTTTTTATATGCATTTCGAAACTCGAGAGTTTGTTGCATTCTTTTTTGATGTCAATGAGTGCGTCGGCAACAAATGGGACAATGAACAATGGCGGAATGGCGTTGGCTTCAGGGGGGGAAGGGGCTGACACACTTGGGAATTGCGCGAGCGCCAAGAAATGGCGAAGTGGATGACCAGAAGCGGCCTCGTATAACCAGGAAATTATGATTTATGAGTTGATTCCATGAAAGTTTTTGTTGGTGCCAAAACTTGAGATTCTTTCGACCGATTGTTGTTTGGTTTTGAGAGATGAGCAACAGATTTGGCTCCAAATTTGAAGTGCAGATTTCAGCGAGAATTGAGGACTTGAAAAAAATTAAGATTAAATGATGTAATAGGGTATAATAATTTTTTTTTGATTTTAAAATGACAAATTAAAAATACACTATCAAACATCTTCATTTCTCTCTACTGTGCTGAGTTTTTAAAAATGAAATATGTAATATTAAAACAAGTCAAACAAACCTAAAATTTCAAAAAATTTCCCACGAAGAATAAAAGTTGAGAAATGCACGAAACTTTACAATATATCGTGAATGTATGCATTTTTTTATCACCGAGAAATCAAGCAAAAAAAAACAACATTTGAGAACGAAATGTCGACATTTTCCTCCGTTTTTTTTGCAGAAATCCCATAAAGAACCACAATTTCTTAATGAGATTGGCTGAAAAATTTGTAGAAGGTTTGCTAAGAAACTGCAAAAGGTGTCGAGTTTGCAAACGAACGAGGCTTTTTTGATTTTTTGGAAAATTTCTAATCGATTGGTGTATCTCGCTTCTAGCTATTGGGATATATGTCCGTCAAAGCCTCCCATAGAAAATCAGTGGAAATTAGAAAACCATTGTAATCATTGTTGACAGACACACACACTATTTCACTGCATTTCCAAAGGGATCAAAAATTGTGAAACTGTAGGAAAATTGATACTTTTACATATATGTAGGTATAAAATTGTAAACAGTGATAATTCGGAATACCGTACTCTGGGGTAACCTGCAAATCAAAACTCATCGAAAAGGGTGCTCGTCTTTTATTGCGGCAATAATAGTATTATTTCCAACTATCCATTATCAATTATCATTCCAATAAATTTCCAGCCAAAAAAAAACGAGCTGCGTAATTATTCAATGTTTCCAGACGCGTTGCGGTTCGCGTGTCCGATAATTTCAAATTAATTTCTTGGTCTTGCAGGCAAAATATTTTGGTAGTCGCGGTTTTTTGGGAACGCATCTCCATTGTCGGGTAAATTTTCAATGTGCCTTCGGTATTTTCGTGAAAAGTTCAGTGATATTAAGAATTCAAAAAAAAAAACAATGATAAACTCATAAAAAATTTCACGGAAAATTTAGAAATAAGAATTGACGCGTGGCGGGACCAAAAACGTACAGTAGTCGCCGAATGCCGACTATTATGTTTTTTAAAATGAAAAAAAAAACTGTCATCTCATTTCAAAACACGTTGACTTTATCGCGAAGAATTTAAATTTTTTTGACGTTTTTTTTCATGTTCCTTTTTCAATGAATGGCAAAAAAAACAGTTTTAAGAATACATCAAATTTGATGGTGTCGGATTCTTCAAGTATATTCTTCAAGTGTAGAACTGAAATTAAAAATCAAGAACAACAAAACGAATAGGTAGATTAAAGGTAAGTTTTGCATGAAACTCGACGACGAGCGAATCGAGTATGAATGAGGCAATCAACAATAACGAGACACCATTAAAAAATCGTGCGCGTTTGGTTCCATATGGTACGGAACTCGTTAGAATTGCTCATAAACCAACACATTTCCAACGACGTCGCCAAATTTTTTCTTTTGGTGTCGAACTCATTTTATTCTCAACAACCGTATCGTATTATATACAGGCATGAAAACTCGTCGAACATTCGAAAAAAAAAAGAAAAAGAGCTATTCGATAATCAGTTTCAGATCGCTCTTCTCCTCGGGTATTTTTCGATAACTACCGGTCACGTTTAGGCTCATATTCGGTATCACAAAGTAGCCGTTCACAATGCCGTCAATCTCGCTGGTCCCTTCAATTTGGGAGCCATTCTAAAAATCGCATCATTGACTAATTAGTGATTATAATTGACGACTAGTTACTTCGTCGACCCATTTCTCGCAATTCTCTGTGGAATTCTCACGACAGAAATAGTAGAATTGGGTTTTTGGTTGACCGAAATACAAGTCGCGACGGATTCCATCAGCGCGTTTCCAATTTTGCTTCCATTCGCATTTCTGAAATTATCAATTCAATTGACGACCAATAAATGAAGGGTCTAACCTCGTGCAGAACACTGCAAATTAATAGATCGGGTCTCGCATCGAACTCGGAGAACGTGCTCAATGGTACGGTAATTGCACTAATAATGATAGCGATGGTTTTGAATAGCATTTTGGGGGAATGATGAGGAAGCGGTGTCAACGAATCGACGGGGGTCGAAATGCCAAAAAAATAGTTTCTCGGCGAACATATCGTTTTCCAACCGACCTGGTTGTCTATGTGTAACACTGTTTCGCCGAATGTTTAATGTACCAAATTTCGATCAAACAGTTGTCGTCATTTATCAGATGTCCGACCAAATATAGATTTCATTGTGTGTGTGTGTTAAATATAGATTTGTGAAGAGACGCGTGACGGTTTGACGAAAACGATCGGTTCCGATTGTTCGATGAAGAAGCGCCGCCGAATGGATTTCGTTTTTTGAAGGACAAATCGCGACATTTAATGATATGACAAAACAACTTGTATAAATCGCGGTGCGTTGTGTAATAGAAAGTGTAGTAAACTAATAACGAACACAAATTTCTGCAAAACGAACCGCAAAAAGCAATTGCCCCGAACCAGGATCGAACTGGTGACCTTTAGATCTTCAGTCTAACGCTCTCCCAACTAAGCTACACTGATTAAGCGCGACGCAAGCATAATGGAAGCATTGTGGGAAATCTGTGGAACGGAAGCATAATGCTTCCATATAGGAAGCATAATGTAATTCTTAGTGGCTGTGGAAGAATTATGGGACGAATATGGATGGAATGAAAACGGGATGAATATGCTTCCGGTGTTTGCGAGCCGTGGAACGAATATGGATGAAATATGGATAAAATAATCATATATCATTACACATTATACAATTGGCGTCTGGACGGCAGACCAAGACAATTTCTAGAAAAATCAATACAAAAAACTTATGCTATCATATAAACAATGAAAATTTGAAAATTACATGATACACAACATTCGAAATTTAGCTTCTACCATTTAATGACTTATGCTACTCAGATTTATGTTAATTCAGTCAACTGTTCCTTACTTTGTTTAAAGATTGCCAACTACAATTTAGTCGTATTAATATATTTTTGCCGGTTTTTCCGAAATTGGCATCGCAAACTACTCACAATTTGCTCCAAACTGGTAGCAGACGCGCGTAGAAGAGGCGTGCCGCAGCATTGCAAAACCGTGCGCCGCTTTGCACAATGCGGCCACGCCTCACATTTTCGAAATTCGTTTTCAAAATTTTTGTCCTTTTGCTTTTTCTCAATGAATTTTCAAGATTTTTTGTGTTTTTTTTTGTCAAAAATTAAAGAATTTTTTTCAAAATTAAAGGAAAAATGTTTTTAAAAAATAAAGGAAAAATTTTCATATTTATCATCAAAATCGAAACCAATAATAAATTGATAGCATTCGAAAATTTTAAAATCGATACGATGTTTTCAAATCGTTTCCGACTCTTTTAAAATCGAATTTAAATATTTTCTCAATCGAATTGTGTTTAATTTCTCATCGAATCCGTTTTATTTTTATTTACTTTAACATATTTTTTATTATCGCTCGCTTTTTTCTTTTAATAAAACATAATGTTTTGAAATTTTTTACAGATGAAGACAAGATCGAGAGTGTTGTCAGATATAACTGAAACTGCTCTAGAAGTCAATAACAAAGAACCAGAAGTCCCTAACATGGAACCAAATTCGCTCGACACTTCAGATCCAGATAGTCCAATTTACTCGCCAACTCAGCAAAAAAATTTTTCTCCACAGTCCTCACAAACAACAAAATCAACGCCAATTCCTAAACCTTCGTACGCCCAATTTGTAAGTTGTTATCATCAAAAATTGGCCGGTTCGACTCCAGAAATGGTTTCAATTAGAAAAATATGCGCAATGAAGTCTTTATAAAGTACTTCCTAAGTTTAAAGCTTGTTGATTATTTGGTTCCAATCAGGGCTGTGCGGCAATGGAATTGCCGATTGCCGAAATTGCCGGTTTTTCAAATTGCCGAAGAAAATTTCGATCGGTAATTTGCCATTAGCCGAATCGCCGAAATTTCCGATTGCCGTACAGCCTTCGTACCAATATCATTCAGTGGCATTTATCTTTTTAAGTGGGGCTCTAGTACAGAAGTCGCCAGACGCCGACTATATAAAGATCCTATACTTTATTGCAAATATCTATATTACAGATGCTCTTATCCATGGCTTTGGGCAACAACCGACAAATGACTTCAAAGCGAAAGCATTACGCATGGTTCGAGAAGTCATGGATAATCTTCTGTATGATTTTGAACTATGACTATTAATTTATTTATTTGATTAAGCGATAGAATGCGCCAACGACTTTAAAGGAAATTTGGTGTAGCGCCGGAAGCGCTCGCGGCGCAATTAAGGAAGCTGCTTGATTCTACCAGCAACCCTCAGATGTGAGTATTCATATGTCTTTGAAATTTTAACCAAAATGCCTTTTTGCTTCAAATTTTGGAGTTGTTCTTTCTTCCGCCAATTCACTTTTTATTTTGTGCACTAAAGGGTTTCCAAAAATGCAATAAAAATAAATTATTTTTATTTTTAAGAAAATTATTGATGTAAAAAAAACTGATTGTATTTTCTCGAAAAATTTAGTTTACGTAACAATGGTTTACAAGTTTTTCAAATTAATAGGCCCATTATAATCGAAGTGTAGCGACTAGGAAAAGTGGAGAAAAGGTAAAAATTCGATAACGGTTTCTTTCTACAAGCGTATATTTGCGAAAAAAGGATAGGTTAAATGTGCATTAGGACTTTTGCCTAATTTCTTAGCAATAGTTGTTGTTTTTAAAAATATCATAACACGGCTTTTTAACCAAGTGTGAACGATATGAATTCTACTTATTACAGCGTCCCGCTCGATGTCAGTACTGACAATGATTCGAATAGTTCGGCAGTTGCCAGTAACTAATGGTTTGATTATATCTTAATTGAAATTCATTTCATTGTTGTTTTTTTTTTATTTTAAATTAAATAAATGTGTTAATATGAAATAAATTTTGAATACAGCAATCAAATTGTTTTCTTATTTGCCCATATGGAAGGCATACGGCTCATTCCATATACGAAACACGCGGTTCCGCAAAAAAATGCTTCCATTATGCTTCCATATAACTTGCATATAAGATTCCTATGATATCCACAGCCGTTCCACTATGCTTCCATTGTGCCTATGCCGCCGTTTATCTGTGTATCGAGGCACGCTTGGCACTCTCTTCAACGCCTGTTGTCTGCACTTTGCGTCCCTAGTCGCTACTCAAAACTTTTCAGTATGGAAAAAATTGAAAAATCAAATAATTATGTAATATTCAAAACGAATGGGATGGAGAAAAAAATTTAATTTTGATATTGCCTACGAAGAAAAAATTGCCTTGAAAATTTCCGTTGTTTAAATCATGTTTCTTTACCAATTTCTGTCAATATGGAATTAAAAAAAAGCAAAAAGCAATTGCCCCGAACCAGGATCGAACTGGTGACCTTTAGATCTTCAGTCTAACGCTCTCCCAACTGAGCTATCGAGGCATGCCATGAGTGCTCTATAGTGGCGGTTATACGCGTTCTTTCCTTCTCTCTTGCGTGCATGCAATACAACGATACAACCGAGGTTTTGAAAATCAGGGTCCCTCGGCATCGGACCACGAGTGGTCGACGAAACCCCGAGGCGCGCGTAGGTTCCTCGATTTCGTTGCCAATTTCACGAAACAACGAGCGAAATCAAAAAACTTGTGGTGAATCCCGGCAAAAAGTCCGCAGGTGTTTACATTCGAATAATTTATTTTATAACGGTAATAATTCTTTTACAATATAAGGTTCACCCGTTTTATATTTGGGTCCATGAAAATCTCGAGTTTTGTCCCAATCAACAGGCTGTTTATCGGTAAACCCATTTATCTGAAAATCATCGTTATCTAACCATTCGCTTCATTTATGGACCAATTCATGAAATGAATTTTTTTATTAAAAAATTGCATGAAATTCGTATTTTTACATTAGAAAAAATATGAAATTTTAATGTATTTCTGAAAATTCCCTGAATGGGCCCATTATTGTCTACTTTCGAAGCAACTGATATTTGATTATAAACATAGTCATAATCAGGTATACTGTTGTAAGCCAAACTATCGACGTACTGTAGAATGGCGGCCATTTGTTCGTAACAACCATATTTGAACATCTAAACCAAGGCGAATGAGAAAATGATGGTTTGATTTCGAACCGACGTTCTTTAAAGCATTCTCATCTTCGCGCAGTTTTCGTTTTGCTATGAGTACAGCTTCTCGATCAGTTCCTTTACACTGTTTCCATGGAATATCGAAGACCAGCATTTCGGACACCATGTACCACCAAGATTCAATGTCGTCTTTGCGGGATTGTTCCATCTGCAATGAGAATTGAAAATGAGCCCGGGGCTCGTGTTTGAATTGCCGCCATCGCTAATAACAACATATTGGCGATTGTGGCGCATCCCGGAAAATGTCCGCAGATGAAATTGCTCTTGTCAAAATTCGAACTAGCACGACTCCGATGTTGACAACCCCCCCACTCCCCGATATTGTAAAGGGGAATTGTCCGCAGCAGCAAATGCATATCACAAAAATCGGTTACCAACCATTTCATGCGCGGCCAACGCGGCGTACCTCGTCGTTCCGCGAAACGCGCACGTCACCCGAGGTGTTCTCAAATCGACACCTTTTGTGCTTGAAAACGAAATTCTATTATTCCATAAATCCGATTTTTACCAAATTTTTCGGCAAAGCCCAAAATCGAGTACGTAAATGGTGTGAAACGTGTCATCCTCCTCGCGACCGATGGCGAAATTCGGCGGTTTGATGTCTCGGTGCAAGAATCCGACCTAAAACGGGGCATTCGATGGCGATTTTTTGGCTGATCGACCGACGCGGTGTAGATCGCGAACACCGGCCAACGTCTGCTCGGCAATCTTCAGGCTGGTGTTCATCGAGTATTTGCGATCGGGCAGCTTTATTCGAATGTCCCACAAATTTTGACCAACCTTTAAATAAGTCACTGGAATTCAAAGAAAATACAATCGGATGGGGCTCTTACTAATTTCAGAATTAAAAATAGAAATCGATTATTGACTTTTCCGCGATCGACGAGTTCAACAAAATGCACAGAATTTAGCATATTTAATGATTGTAAAACCCGTGCTTCATGAGCGAGAATCTTGAAATATTCGAAAAAATATGGTTTTTTTTTTCAATTTCCAATTTTCGTACTTGTTTTTTGACATGAACCGATTCACATTTCATCGCATAATATTTGCCGTCAGCTTCTCGTCGAACTCGAAAAACTGCTCCGAATGAGCCCTGTCCGAGTTCGTCTCCAATCTAAAAAAAATTCTGATCCGTCCGTTTTTATTGGTCCCGTAATTTTCTATTCGACACTTTCAAAAAATCACCAAGGACGAATGTTTTTTGTGTGTCGAATTTGAATTGCCGCCTTGGGTCTCGAATGGAAAAAAAAATCATTGGAGCGAGTTATGCTGAATTTGGTCAAAATAATTTGATAGAGCAAATTTTTTTAACGAATATTTTCACGATTTTCTAAATCACCTAATCAGTGGTTCCCCGGAATAGAATGCAATTGTCAATAGAGCGCGATTGCAACTTCGTTTTTTTTTAATTTTTAGGTTTTCTTCGAACGCCAATAATAACATTTGATTTTTTATAGAAAATATCATATTATGTCTCATGACTCCGGGGAACCACCACATAATCCAACAAATGTGGCCGTGGCCGAACGCAATTTTCCAGGACAATTTTTCTAGGCCACACCAGTGTTGCTCAAATTCTCTTTTGAAAAAATACAGGACAAAAATGTTGTTTCAAAAAATGTGAAGAGCGGTGATTGCAGACATCGGTGTTTGCGGACTTGCGTTATTTTATGCACCCTGTGTGGATTTACGGTGAGTTTGATTCGCAGGTTATCCGGTGTACGGTATTCCGAATTGTCATCGTTTACAATTTTATGAAACAAACCCCGCAATTAATTTTGCGGACCACCGAATTTCTTTCGATGCGCTAAGAAATTTGTTTATCGAAAAAATGGGTGCCAACATTGAAAATAGAGTGATATGCGAATTCAGAAGGATGGGGGGGGTCATTTCGAAAAAAAAATATATCGTGCCCATATTTGAAACAAGATATTAATGGAGAATATCGCGGGGAGAGTCGAGAAGAGTGAAAATGCCAATTTTTGCTCTCGTTTCGCATACATATGTTTGATACGCAGCCAAATCGAAAATTATTGCAAAAGCCAGTTGGACTATTCAATTTTTAGGCTTCAAAATTGGAAATGTCATCGACAAGACGGCCAATGATCCTTCACTACCGGTTTTTTCCATTATCGATTGTTCACCACCAATTTTTCAAGCAATATTTTTAATTGAGAGGTTGTAATTTTCGTCTGTTTCAAAAAATTAGGCCTAGCTTAAAATAGGATCAAAATGTATGGTCATATGCTGCTTTCATTTTCCCATATTTTGCTGTCAAACCCCATGATTCGTCGAAGCAAATTCAAAAAAGTACAAAGTATCAGATTATTTTTTTAATTTAAAAAAAAATTTCTTTAATTTATTTTATTTTTTTTAAACAAATTGTTGCATCAAAGCGACAAGTTTCAAATCTTGACAAAATTATTGAAAATTAAGGCTAATTTTTAAGAAAATGCTTATCAAAAATGTTTTTTTTATTTTTGATTTTAATAGATTTTTTGAAAACCCATTGGTGCACAAAAATAATAATTGAAAACTTTGGACCCCCTACTTTCATTTTAATAAAGGGACCCACAGAATATTTTTCAGGAGGACGATGAGTGTAAGAAAATCGGAAGTGAGAAAATAGAAGCGAAGAATCATTGGACCATTTGCATTCTTCAGAATGCCTTACTTCATACGATCCTTTGCTCGATTCGATGCGATTCTCGCCTTTTTCCGGCTTCGGCATATCCATATTTTGTAGTTTTTTCATCGCTTCTCGATCTTTTTCGCGTTTCTCGTCTTTTGTTCGAGCGTCTACAAAACGAAACCGTTGAAGATGAGTGTCGAAATTAACCCGCCCAATCATCTACCTCCAGTTTTTTTGCTTTTGCTTTTTTCGTCCATTTTTATAGTTTTTAAGAGTCTGAAAATCCAAAATCGGCGATCTCGTGCGAGAATTGAGAATCTCACCTTTCTTATCTAACCAATTAATAGGAAAATGAGCAAAATAATCACGTTGAATCTCATTATTTATTCACTTTATTAAAAAAAAATCGCAGAAGAAAAAATAAAAATAAAATTCGGTGTGAATATTTTGTGGATGGTTAAAACGACGACCCTGCCAAAATGAAGCTAAACCCGTAAAAATGATCTAATTTGATTCCTAAACATTCTAAAAAATCTCAATTTTTTCATCATTTATTAATATTATTATTATTCTAGCCGTAAGCTCATTGGATTGACGATTTTCATGACATTCAAATCCTGAATGAATCGCTTCGTCGAGTTGAACGTACGATAGTCATTGATTCCGGAAGGCGATTTGAAAACGGGTTGCTGAGAAGCGCAATTAAGCATCCAATTAAATTGATTAATTACCTTTAGCGAAAATGGCATAATTGATGGATCATGGTGATATCGATTTGAATCGGCTAAATGGATCAGAAATGCCCGAAGGATTGGTGTGGAGAATGCTGAAAATTTCAAACAATTGCAGAATTGCTAGACGAACTCACCATTTGCTGCAACGTATATTAAGAAAAGCACAAATTGGAATACTCGCATAACTGTAGGTAGATGGGAAGGTGGGTTGAGTGAGTTGATGTGAAAATGTCTGCAAAAAAAATGAGAAAAAAATGTGAGAAAATGAATGATAATTGTGAGCAATTATACAGGAAAAATGCGAAGAATTGATCAACAGACGGGAGGCGAAAAAAAAGTGAAAAAGTCCGGCACGACACTCGCATTTAAAGTGTCGACTAATTTGCAAACAACTCCATTCGGAGCAGCTCTAATGACGTCTTGGTTGACGAAAAAAAAAAAGACCGTGCCCGCCCACCAGAACGTCTAACTCAATTATCATACGAAACTAGGGGAAACTCCGACTTTTCTGGAATTTCGTTGCGCAATTCGTTTCATATTTTTTTGATCAAAACAAATTCTCAACGAAAAATTGGATAGAAGAAGTTTCGAGGTGTCTGTGTACTCCACACGGACAATTGAGAGCTAAACAAGGCTTTGAAAAAAAAATGGAAATCCAGATTTATATTGCCAATTTTGTTGAAATCTCAAAGCAATAAAAAATTATTGAATTATATTGTGAATACACGAAATTGATCATGCGCCTTTAAACAAGGTCCAGCTAGAATCGTTCGGACATTTTTGGTTTAATGCAGATTCCGAAATAAAAACTCAAAAAATAGGTAAAATTCACTTTTCAAAATCTCCAAAAATCTACATTTAATCATTTTTTGAAAGGTTTTGTTCGTCACAACCTGCATAGTACCATTTTGTGCATTTAATGATGTAAGATAAAATTTGGAAAAAAATATATTAAATAACTACAGTAATCCGAATAAATTTCGCATAATTGATAGGCTATATAGAAAAAAAAATATCAAAAAACATCATAAAATTGTAGTAGTGGGAAAATTGAGAGAAATCTTGAAAAGCGAGAGAAAATATTTTGAATGGTTTTTTTTGGGAATATCGAAAAATGCAAAAATTTTGGAATAATTAGGATTAATTTTTTTGCGAAACAAATCGAAATTCGTAATAATGAATGAATGACTAGTGGAATGTGAAATATAGCGACGATTGCTCCAGAAATAGTCGCTCATTAGACCAATTTTATCGCAAATCTCATCCAAAATTGGCTCAGTTATTCGAAAATGACGTGGAAAATATTTTCGAATCGCTCGAATCTTCTAACATTTTCCAACCAAATTTTGATTGCTCTAATTTGCAAAATTGAATCAGAATGAGGAGGAAGGCCGAGTTTTTTTTTTTAATGAATCATTCACGAAAATTGGAAAACCTTTGCTGGCAAGTTGCATAGTAATAAATTCGATCGCATGGTTAGCGAATGGTCAAACTGACGGTGTGTCACGTATTTGGCGAGAATTCAAACACTGCGAATTATTACACTGAAGCTGACCAATCATACCGATTTTTGCACTAAAGGCTATTGGAAAATAAAATGCGAATTGAATGATGGTTTGATGGTAGTTGATGATTCTACGGACCATTAAAATCTCATTTCATTTTGATGTGAACGTTCAGAGAATAAAGTGACAGTTTGTGGACAATTTTTGGTTTAAGTTGGCAACAAAAAAATACGGTTGAATTATAATAAGTCCCGATTGTTCCAGAATTTCCTAAAATGTATTTTCTAAATTTCAGAAAAGAGGTTTACTGTAACTGAATTATGAATGGTTTCAGAAAGGGAATTCATTTTTCTTGTATTCCATTTCATTCCTCGATATCTGGTGTTCTTCTCGCTCGAATATCCCGCTGAGAATCTGCCGAAACATATAGTTGTAGATTTACGGGGGTTGCGCCTTTGCTATGGTCTCACACCGATTAACTGTGTTTGTTTTTTGCATTTTAGAGGTCATTCGGTGGGTGTTTAATTTCAATCGTTTGAAATATTGAAAGAAAAGATATACTCATCAAGAATAATTATTTTCGGTTGCGGAAAATTGGCAAAATGCCAAAAATTAAAAAGAGGTCTCAGCGCGCGAGCTATGCGCCTTTAACCAATCCTCACCCGTAAATCGACACATTTAGTTTTGCACCAAGCCTACTATCATTGTGTTTTGGCATTTTGCCAATTTTCCGCACTCGCGCGACGCCGACAATAAGCAGAATTCAAAAACACGTGCGGCGAGACCATTTCGAATCGAGCACCCGTAAATCTACAATCAGGCAGATCTAGGAGAATACTATTAACAATGAAACATTTGGAATTCAAATTCTCAACATAAAAAAATATTAATTAACAATTTCACGTAGATCTTGAATAATAGAGAATTTATTGAAAATGATCCAAAGTGTGCAATTTTGCGTGCGCGTGTACACACATCGCACTATTTTTTAAATGTTTTTTTTTTGAGCGGAGCCAAATTTTTCTACTAAATTATAGCTCAGACGAATCGATGATTGCAAATCACTGAAAAAAAAAGTATGAAGAGTGGGGATATGCAATCGAGTGAAACATCGAATTCTAGTGGCGAGATCATGTTAATCAAAACGCCTTCAATTATTCTTTTGTTGCGAATTTCATTAACGAGTCATCTAATTTCGGATTGCGTAGGCGACCACCAACGGCTCCTCTTTTTTTGTGTGTGTGTGTGTGAGCACAGAACGAAAGCAACACGAAGACGAAGAAGAAGAAGAAGAAGAAAAAAATGTTGGCTGCAGCCAGCAGACCGGCCTGTAAATGGGTTTGCAGCGCGCGAAAACAACACGAATTGAATGCGGTTGATGGTAATTCCGAAAATGGCAAACGCATCGTCTATTTTCGGCTCGAAACCTCTCTCTGATGGGAATTGCTGGAGCAAAAAAATGGAAACGCGTCGTCACAAAGAGAGAGAGTTGAAAAATTGATTTTTGAAATAAATTAGCGCTGAGAATTGTGGCTATGATTTCATCTTAAACGTCATCTATTTGTTGCGACGTCGAGATTAGGCCGACGAGGATTCAAGCAAAAAAAATTCGCTGCGAAAACAATTTTGGAGAACATTGTTTTTGATCTACAAAATGAAACCAGATCGACTTTATTTCTTTGGCTAATGGTCCGAAAAATTCTAACTGTAATTAAATGATGAAAAAAAAGCGGCGAGACCCTAGAGACAAATCGTCTCTTTTTCCCAGTTATGCCTTTATTTTTTTTTCTTATTTGAATAATTTAATTTATTTTTTTATTTGTACTAGAAATGATAGTCTAAATAATAATACCATAATTTCAAGGCGCACGGCAACAAATTGTCTGATGGGTCTCGCCGCTTTTTTTCATCATTGAATTACAGTACCCATTTTTTTTGAATCGCTGCTTTGAAAAAATGCTTAGTTTTTCACCATTTTTTATTGTGGTCCATAAAGTTTCCAAGAATTCAATTTTTTCCTATCTGATTCTGGGGGACCCTCTAGATTATGATGGTTCTTTAATATCAATAGGAGCACAGTTTGCTTGGTTGAGTTCCCTGTGATTCGAGAATAACTAATTCGATGATAAAGAAAAAAAATAAATTTGGCATTGACCTTATATAGTATGATGCGAGCTTGAACAGGAATAATTCAATTTTGGTTATTTTTGTGACGAAAATTGAAAATTACCACAAGACATTGTGAAGGAGCCCATAAAAATGAGCATTCATTTTTTATTAGATTCGAAAATCGATTTTTCTCATCTATTGCTTGAGATTCATTTAATTGTGCAATTTTTGATATCTGGAAATTTCAGACCAGAGACTGACCAGCCATTCTACAACCACGCAAGATTGATTTGAGCTTCTCGTTAAAATTCAAGACAAGGCAATGTCAAGCAACAATTTTGGAGAGAAGACAGTGGTCGTGAAATGGATTTGGATTGAGCCGGCGAAAAAAAAAACGACAAGGAGCTTCGGGAGGAATTAGAATTGGGTTCGACGAGAACTCACACCTTGAATGGAAACGAAGACTAGAACGAATAATTTGTTGGTATTGACGATTTGAATTTCGGGATATTTGTAGTAATGAGCAACAAAAAAATAGAGTCATCGTCAACATGAAAATAAGCAAATTAGAGGAGCAAACAATTATATTTGAGTTTTTGAATAAAAAAATAGCAGCAAAAAAAAAACGATGCCGGTCTTTTTTCTAAAATTTTCGAATCAAATTCCCTGCTTGATAACGAAATTTGGCTTAAAATTTCAGTTGAGATTCAATTTATTATGGATCTATTCAGTGAATGTAAATTAAACAAAAACGACAAATTTTCATTATGCAGCGATGTCGTTTTTGTCGCAATAAGCGCTTAATTTTACTGAGGGGTACTGTAGATCGCGGGTCGATATTTCAAAAAAATTGGCACATGCTCCTTGAATATCGATTTTTTTAAAATATTTTTTATATTAAAATTTTCT